TTCCAGTCCTTATCCGAGGCGTTGTGCTGACTATTATTGTCGGAGACAAGTGCTTCGGCTACGGTGCGGTTAAACGCATCGGCAGCAGATGCGGTTGCTTCTGCGGCAGCGGTAGCTGCTGCAGCGCTAGTAGCTTCTCTTTCCATCTTTCTACGTTCGGCCTTGCGCTTCTTTGCAGGCATATTGTCTTTCTTTGTCATAATCTTAACTTATGACTTCAGTCTTATTCTCCTAAGGAATGACTGTGCTTTAAGAAAAAAATCGTGTTAGTTATCTACCTTTACGTTTAAGTAGTCGAAGTAATTAATACCTTTGCTAACTTTAAAATGTGTAAGTTTCGGTCTATCGAGGCGATATTAACGACTTAGAGTAGTTAAACCCTTAGGTTAAGTCTAAGTATAGTTAAATTCGAAATAAATAAACGAAATGAGTCTTTTAGTAAAGTTAGGTATGTCTCGTGAAAACAGCAATACTCTGAGGGATTGTGAGGCAGAACATTGCCTATTTATAATCATCTCAGTACTGTTTTCGCCGAATGGATTTTATTTTATGTTTCGTTGTCGCTCTAATAGAAACCATGGAATGTTTCGTTGGGGCGAATCCGAGATACTCATAAAATCCTATCTTTAGAAAAAAAAGAAAAAAAAGAAGAAAAAAACTCCTGATGTCCAGAGTTATTGCATTAACCAATAACTTGCCACTTATCAAGAATTACCGACTTAGCCTTGAACCGCCTCAGGTGGACAGGAGGAGTTCCTGAGAAGGACAGAAAATCTTCACTGGGTTGAATTATCTGTGTGTGGTTATGATATGGGTATATGAAGGATAATCAGTCCAAAGATCAGGCAACTATCCGCACTATTGTTTGACTTTTATATGGCAATATGAACGTCCTAGTTTAGTAGAGGCTATACATTCATAGCCACGTCATTGTTATAACGTGATCAGAAGGTGAGTGTGAATAGCTCATCATCGTAGTTGACGGAGCTACACTACTTTCAAGGCTAACAATGAATATGGAAGAGAAAATGTCGAGTCAGGTGACCGTGGTCTCCACCGGCGTTGTGTTAATGAGACCGAGTGGCTCACCTCCTTCATCAAAAATCTCCACGATACAAAAATCGTTTTAGTCTTTTCTTCACCGGATGACAAAGAGTTTACCTTGTGCATGAGCAGCAATGGCGCAATTGTGAAGGATGTATCCTTCTGGGATGTAACACGCAATCGAACGCGAGCTGTGGTGAGGAGGAACGTTCTTATAGTACTCTTATTCTATTTGCCCCTCATCGGATTTTTTTGGGTTCGTACTATCTTGCCAAGTATTTGACAGTTCCGCCAGCTAAACCTTATATGCGATGGGTGCCCCTAAAAGAAAATATGGCTATCTTTTTCTCAGTAGTCTCAGGGGTTACCTTTCTACTGCGTGGAGTCACGCTCATGACGATATACAAGCATAGAAAATCACCAGTCATACTGAGCAAACTGCCATCTTTCATAGCTCATATTAGCTTTTGCTTATTGGTCATACCTCCACTCACATATAGCACGAACATGCTGACTGCTTACTACTCGCCAACGAACAGTTTTGTTCGCTTCCTACAAGCAGTGGAATTGATGACGGTTGGGCAAGTATGGGCGGCACTGAGTAGCAGGGTGGCGCTTATGTATTTTTTGTTGGACAAAGGTATCTGCAATCCAAGTTACAAGATGTTCTTCGTCAATTCCATAATCATGTCATTTGTGTTCCAAGTGGTACCTTACATCGTTGCCATGACCATTTCCTTCCTTAAATACTCCGAAATCATTGGGTGGGCTGCCGTTTCGTATGCGTTGCTCACCTTGATCGAGATGAGCTGGTATACTGTGAAAATGCGCGGGGGATTCGTAAAGTTATTCGTAATTATGAAAATGTCGTGCGGATGATGATTATACAGGTAGTGATATTGGTGATATCTATGTGCAAAGTGCGATTTGAAAGCAAGAGTCTTGCTTTTTACAGATTCAGTACATCAGTGGTACAATGTTTTCACAATAAATTAGGTATCAGCGAAAACACCTTAATCAGCCAGGCATATGATTTGATAGATCCACGTGGGCGGCGTGGGCGGCTTGATCTGCTATTACAAGATAAGGAACTTTACCCCGTACTATTGGCTATGGCTGGCAGACGGCATATGGACGAAAACTTCAGATTCATGCAAGATGTTCGACGGCTTAAGCGTATGTTGAGGACAGAAGCCAATACGCTGACAGTACAGGAAAGAAATAACGATAGTGAAAACATAAGCAGACTAACATTGCAAATACTGGATAACTATATCATGCAAGGAGCGGCCCACCCAGTAAATTTGCCTTCGAGGATACTAAAGCCATTACGCGAAATGAGGGAATCGACGCCCGTCGAATCATCGATGTCTCTACACCAGGTGGAAGTTGATATTTACCAGCTCTTGTGGATGGCATATGCGGAGACAGTCATGCTGGTGCACGAGTCAAATGTGCTGGACATGTTCTCGAAGAATCCGACAGTGTGCGACATACTGAAGAGCAGAGTAGATAGATTAACAACCTTGTGCGGGACGGACGCAAGACCGGCGAAACCACCCCAAACAACTAATTTACTGCACATAGAGGAGCGGTGTTCCTCGAACAGTGTCCGCGACGAGGCCTGACAAGTTCAGATAGCACCGCTTGCGCAATTGGCGCGATGTCCTTCCCTTCATTCAACAAATAAATACAGCAAATACATATCACATGCGATCAGTATAATCACGCTACTGCTATTATTTCTACCGGACACCCCAAGGGATACTATCATTCCTTGTTGTCAGCTTACTTTGATCTGGTAGCGTTAAACACAACATTATCAATGAGTGCTGTACAAAACATACACCGTTCCCCGTCCGAGTTCTAGGGTTTAAGGATATTTTTTTCCCACGATTACTGAAATATGTGACTTTATTGGTATCAAACATGTATCTGAGACTATTTTCCACCGCTGTCACCGACCACGGCTTACGTGAGTCCTTTCCTTTTCTTAAACTCACTCAATCGTCTGGCGCGCAAAGCAATGCGATCCACCGGTGTATCCTCGTCATCAGAATCGGGACGTTCCGGGACGACAAACACATATTTGGCGCAGAGTTCGTCTGCAGGGGTACATAGAACAAGACAAGTGTAAGGAAAGAAGATGGGATTTATGACTTGGACGACACATGTGCCTGCGCATGACAACCTACGCCTGAACTCAACACATACTCGTGCGCGCAACAACTGACCCCGAGCACCGCAGAATTACACATGTGAGCAGCACCCTCCCGTATATGGTGTTAACGTACATACATCAATACAGTGCTAGAAGTACATAGATCATAATAGTTTCTAAGATTGCATAGAGCAATATAGTGATGAAAAGTACACCGAGCAATATAGTGCATGAACTACACAGAGCAATATAGTAGTAAAAGTGCATATACCAGATAACATACCGATGCGGCTGCCCAGATCCAAGTCGAAGCCATGCAATGTTTTGAGATCAGACACATCCAACGATTGTCGGCGCTTTCTTTCAGCTGTGCAATAAAACCAGCATATGAGTGGAATGGAATATGCAGACGAGATGGGGTCTGAATCTGAACCGTGAGCAATGAACAACCGATGCTTGGCAGTTAGCAGCCAATGATGTGGTTGAATAAGCGCGATAGACGGGGGTAATTCACAAATCTACGACTCATCATTGCGAAGATACACGAATGACAAAATGAGCAGCAGCAAATCGAAAGGTCATGATGAGAAGGTGATAGGGTGGAATTTAAACGGGCAAATAGGTTCTGATCGGCGTCTAACAGTGAGTTGTGATTACGCTGACTAAGTATCGGGAACCAAAGTCACATCTTCGGCGCACTACCTAGTGTAATCAATATACTGGTGCTGGATAGAGCTGCTGTCCAGCTGGACTAAACAAATGGGCGGTACTTGTATCAGAAACTTTGGCGTACCCCTGAATACATCGGATAGTGAGAACATACACACAATACAAAGTCCAGACAGTATATCCTACCTTCGTTTTCTACTCTTTCCTTTTCCGCGCGTGCCTCGGCGGTATCAGCAGTCCCGTTGGCGGCTATGGCATCTCGCTCGGCTCTTTCGGCCAGAATGCGTTCTCTATCTATTGCTGTGAGCCTGCAACGTGACATTACTTCAGCAGGAATAGCAACATATATATATATATATATATCCACCCACACCCATCCACCCACCCATATATATATATATATACATATACATATATTTATATATATATATACATATATATATGCATATATATACACATACAGACATACAGACATACATATATATATATATATAAATAGAAACATTTACATAGATCACACATACACACACACATATATATATATATAATATATATATATATATATATATATATATATATATTATATATATATATATATATATATATATATATATATATATATATATATATATATATATATATAATAATAGTGATATATTATAGTATACTAGTATAATAAAATAACATTGTAGCAAAATAATAAAATAATGAAACAATATAATATAACAATAACAAAACTGATACTTATATTTTTTATAGGAATAATTCCTCACATACATGACAGGGCGGGTCTTCACGCGCATGTATTTCATTCCATCCTCGAGAGATTTGTCGAGCGGTGTCTTTGTGTCTCGTTGAAATGTGTTGTGAACACGTGCTCGCTGCAAACAACCGAGAAGAAAGCTAGAAAATTAGAATGTAATATCGCTGGCTACAGATATTAAATATTGGTATATTTATAACTACAGTGAGGGAGTATGTTGAAATGTACAAGATCACAATTACAAAATCGTGTCTAATTGTACTCACTGAATCAGTTTCCAACATTGGCCATGATCGAGTTTGTACGTGAACAGGTTAAATGTCACTACTTCGTACTTGTCTCCCATACTGAGCACTCATTTGCAACCCTTTGATGCTATAGTATGAAAGACACTCTTATGAGTATTGTACAGCACAATGGGTGTATCCACAAATGCAGTGGAATGGATATGGGTATGTATTATATATACCATACCAAGTTAGAAGCATTTGAGCAACGGAAAAACAAGACGCCAGACCTTCGCCTACAGGTTCACTTTCACATCGCGTACGGTATGTGTGTATTATGCGCACGTACACACCTTAAAACGATCGATTTGCGATAGTGCACCAACACAAAACAGCCGGTTTAAGGAGACTTAAAAGCTTTGCGTTAGTATAAACGGATATAGTTAAAATTAATGGACAAACTACACGCTAGGAAGAATACGGTGCAGCTGGGAGCAGATGTTATAAGGAGAAGTCCTACCTCATTAATGTGGGCCATGGCGGCGATTGTTTTACGATTTTTGAACGCCATTCGATCCGTGTTCGCTTTGGCCTCGAGGCCGTCAAGTAGTCTGTTGGTAGAGTGCGATGTTGTGGAATGTGTTGTGTGTGAGGGTGAGACTCATTCTCAACTGAAACTGGGCCATCTCTATCACTGTACCGTACATTTATATATAGACCGGGATATAACCTCAGAGTGCTGCTTACCTCTTCTATTCAACAAGCATACAAATCATGTGACGCTGTGCTCAGTACAGATACACATTGAGGCCGTAAGTACTCAGACAAAAGACGAGTTTATAATCGTCAATAGACAAACAAGGGGTTGATGTGTTGTATCCATGACTGTTGTTGACAAATTTATATATATATATATATATATATAGTAGATTAGGATGAACTTACTTATCGATGCGCTCTACTTCTTTTTCATCGCCTTCCTGCTGTGCCACGGCCTTCTCGGTTTCCATTCTGATTTTCTCCGACGCATAGGTTCTCTGAGAAATGCCATCGAAATCAAACACAGGGAATAAGTCAAACTCCGCATATGAACATGGTGCTCATGTCACAAGAGAGGTAGCTGAAAAATACGTGCGGTGCGATATGCCTTCTGGAGTCACAAACACCGTGCATGACTGAATCTCTTCCGGCTGATTGACCAACAGAAATCATCAGTACAAACATTAGAGACCATTGCGCAACACAGACCAAGCAAATTCTACATAAAATTGGTATGTCGCATGATTGATACTTAGTACCTAAATCTTGTTCCACAGGGAAAGCGCTGCCTGTATTAATACCACAATTCTCGTGGTATAGGGTAAAACTAGAGCGCTTAACAATCGCACCTGCCGGGGATCCGCACAGTTACGATTAACCCCTGTAGCACGCACGTGTAGAGTGTTGTGCGGCATACCTGGATGTCCAGTCGGTGCCTAGACTGATCCTTTTTCTGCTTGAGGACGTACTCGATGTCGGCAGTTGTTACCTGTGAAAACAATTACATTGCCAGTTTTAGTAAAATCTTACGCAGAGTGAACAGAGTTAACATTGGCAGTTTGGAATAGAAATGTGATAGTGGACACGAAGAGCTTTTTGGTTCTGATGAACCGATTTACATTTTGGGGTAAATCATCGCGACGACAAAAGTAAGGTCGGATATAGCAGTTGTGCAGGTCCGAGAGGTCTACACTTGGAAAAGTAGTGATGGAAGAAATTGTAGAAAGTATACTTTCGCGACAAATACAGGTTTCTAGCCCCTTGTGTTCGTCAAAAACACATGATGGATAAGCAACTGGACTCATATGGATATATGAGACCAAATGGGTAAATCAGTCACACATTGGTAAATCATACTTTCTTATTTAGCATATCTTCAATTTGCTGTGTTTTCGCTTTAATTGTCTTCATAGATGGGAGCTTTTTACCATCCTTCTCCAACTGCGCCTTCAGTTGACTGAATTCTGAAATGAAGTAGAAGCAAGAATCACATCATGAAACGATTGTGAGGGAAAGTAAGAAAACTCTGGGAATCATATTGTACATTGTATATGAAACATAGACCAATTGTGAATATCGAGGTGCCGAGGAGAAAAAAATGGCTTGACAAAGCCCTGTTCTGATGGTATCATGTGAGTATATTCATTGTTGGTGTAAGTCTGCACAGAATTCGAAGTATTATACATGTTCATCACGCACGAAAGTGCTATTGCCAGCGTGTGCATAAGCTTTCTCGAATATACACACCCCTCACACAATGACAACGAAACCGGAAACATACTTACTACAAGCTATAAGTACAATATATCATTTCGTAACGTGAGCTCCCCCACAATGCCGAAAGCACTTATCCTGACTCACAACTGAATTATCTCAAGTATCTACCTGCCCTCTCAAGAACCTTGCTTAACAGCACCAGACGATCACAAACATCTCTTCTATTCTGACTCACAACTGAATTATTCTCAAGTAGGTACCTGCCCTCTCAAGAACCTTGCTTAACAGCACCAAACGATCACAAGCATCTCTTCCACTCACAACTCAATCATTTATCAAGTACCAAACTATCACAAACATCTCTTCTACTCACAACT